GCTTAAATGGTAGAGTGCTAGCCTTGAGCAAAAGAAGCTCAGGGTCAGTGCCCAGGCCCTGAGTTCAAGCCCCAGGACTGGCAAAAAAAAAAAAAAAAAAAGTTACTTCTGGTTGTTTTTGTGAATTTCTCATCGTTTTTATGGAGGACAGAATTTACATGTTTGGTTGTGTGGGGTTTTTTTTGTTAGTTTTTGGTCATGGATCTTGAACTCTGGGCCTGAACACTGTCCCTGAGCTCTTCAATGCAAGGCGAGCACTCTACCACTTGAGCCACAGCACCACTTCCGGTTTTCTGGTGGTTAATTGGAGATAAGAGTGTCATGGACTTTCCTGCCCAGGCTGGTTTTGAACCATGATCCTCAGATCTCAACCTACTGAGTAATTAGGATTACAGGCATGAGCCACTGGTGCCTGGCAGAATTTACTTCTTGATTAAAATGAAAACAATAATTTCTTACTTGATCATTTTGGCTGACATACAGACCTAATCAAAACGTATTTTAAAAGCATATTGCCTGGAATTAAAGAAGTTTCCCACTACCTCAAGTAAGAATATATGGAAGATTAGAAGGATACATTAAATAAAAAAAAAGATTTCAGAAAACCTAAGGAGAAGAATTTTATAGATTCTTATTAGTTTGCTTTTTGTGTTCCACTTTATGGCCTTGCTCTATTTTCCTAGCTTTAAATTCCAAGGACAAGTGTTTGAATAGTTCATCTCATATCCTTAAACAAAGCTTTCCACATTAGGGTACTTGATGGGCAGCTTTCCAGCTTTTAGAGCACCTACTCTTGAGCTGGTTACCTCTGTTGCTGTGGTGAGATGATGTGTTAGAATATGTGATGATCTAAGATTTAACTGCAAGTAGAAAATATACACCAGAAGATCTGCAGCTCACAGACTACAATCTGGAGAAGCTCAGTGAAATGTACAGTTCTTTTGCTGTGACATATAATGTGTTTGTTATATACAGTAGTTACTGTATATAATCATGATTACTGCTTTATTTCAGGGGAAGATTCAATCCAGTTAACCAGAAGATAATGATTGTCAAGAAAGGACCAGTAAAAAAGATCACAAGATCAAACCATCTTCCAAAACTCCACCCATAATTCCAGCTCTGGGTGGATTTCTATTTCTTCCTTCTTTTTTCATCTGTGGTAATCCACTTGTGAAGCTAATGTCCAATTCATTTTTCAGGGAATGAAATAGATAAGAGCTATCAACTTTCTCTTTAGTTCTTTCTTTGTCTACATCAAAGACCTAGTCTTTACTAGGAAATCTGAAGGATGATATAATTATATTTGCTTTTACTAATATTATTCTTGATTTTCTCTGATAGTAACCTTAATAGTGAATTTGTTTTCTAGTTGGATACTGTTTATAATATTTTACAATCTTTTTTATAACTGTGACATACATCTTATATGCTTATTCTCATAGGTGAAATTATTGGGCTTAAAAATTGCAGGAGTCACCCAGAGATAAGTGCAGCTTTCAATTAATAGTGTTTTTACCTGTATCTGGCACTAAATACAAATTCTGTTTTGTATTACCAGTAATGAATACCAAATGCATTTCTTTATCTCTGTTTTAAAGAAGGATGCATAAATTTCATATGACTGAATAATTGTGTGTGTGTGTGTGTGTGTGTGTGTGTGTGTGTGTGTGTGTATGTGTGTATGTGTGCAAGTGCACCAGTCCTGGGGCTTGAACTCAGGGCCTGGGTGCTATCCCTGAGCTGCTTTTGCTCAAGGCTAACACTCTACCACTTGAATGGCCACAGCTCTAATTATAGCTTTTTGGTGACTAATTGGAGATAAGAGTCTCATGGACTTTCCCACCAAGGCTGACTTCAAACCATGATCCTCAGATCTCAGCATATTGAATAGCTAGCATTACAGGTGTGAACCACCAGAGTCTAGCTCCAAATAAGTCTTCATGTGACTTGAAATATAGTGCAGAGAAATATAAAGTAACTCCCTATTAAATATCCTGCATTGGAATGATGGGGAGAAATTTTCTTTGTTCTTAAGCTGACTGAAGATATAAGGTACTGTGATCCATATGTTACAAAAATTCTAGGTTTTAATGTTTATATCATATTTTTTGGCCTTCTTAGCAAAAGGATAACTGAACTATTAGTAACAATTACAGTTATCAAGGAAAATAATCAAGTTAGTTTCACGCAGAGCTAAGCCATTGTGGGGCCTACGTTGAGGAATATCCATAGTTGTTAATCACTTAGGGGTGGTAGATTAGTTGAATATCTTGTCATAGGGATTCTCATCACATTCAAGTGTTCAATCTGTGCCAGCTATCTCGAGTTATTCTGCAGATGTCAGGAAATGGCTGGTCTGCTTTAAGCCATGATGGCACATTGGTGAGATAGTGTAAAAAACTGAAACACTCTGAGTGTTTGAATACCTGTTATGTCACATCGAGCTTCTAAGTTTTTGGTTAAGCCAGTTTTTGCTGCCTTAGTTTCTCCATTTATAGAGTTGGGAAGATTATTTTTTGGGTCTGGTCGTGGGCCTTGAACTCTGGGCCTGGGCACTGTCCCTCAGCTCTTCAGCTCAAGGCTAGCGCTCTACCACTTGAGCCACAGCACCACTTCCGGCTTTTT